TGTACAGATTCAGCTTTATTCCCCTGACATTAACCCCTCTCCCCCTGGCGTCCAAAACTTGTCAGCCGGCATCATATGGATCGTATGCCAATTAATCGGCAGGCCCCTCTCCCTTACCGTTGCGCAAACCGGCGTGCTGCTCCCCCCCCCCCCATTTCAACTCGTTGCGCCACCGTTTAAATTACCGCCGCCCCGATTAAATTCCACCACAATTAAAGTTGGACCAGCGCATGGAACCTCCGATCATCAAAGAATTTCCCATATTCGACCTAGGCCTAGTGCCCACCCCACGCGTCCGGCTAGTGTTACCATCCTACAACTACGCATCTGCCCCGCGCTTGCAGTCCACACAACAAGTTTAACAATACCAGCTCACCCCTGCTACAAACCCTATTAACCCAACCCTAACACTAACTCGTAACCGCCACTCGCCGCGTATACCTCTATAAAAAGTGGTTATAGCTACCAAATACCGTTCTATGGCTGTCGGCTGGCAAATTTTACGCCATGAGTCAGCTACCTCGTAAAAAAAACACGCCTTTCAACCCCCCAGTTGGCCCCTCCCCGCTCCCTCCTCCCCCTGGTTCAATTTCACATCCTGGGGAGTACCCTAATCGCGCATATTGATTCATGACTACGTTTTCCTTACAATTACGAACACTCAATGCACCTCACACAGCTCAGCTGAACACTTTCATATATCTATACAACAGATACCACAACGATTACATTCTAATTCTACGAGAAAGTGTCAATGGCTTAAATAAATAGGCATTCCTGCACCAACCATCAAGTACCAATGTTTAATCGAATATTTATTCCTTCTACGTTTCTTTACATATAACTCATATACACAGAGTAAGTTTTCATAATCTACCAACAGATATTAGCTACGATTACATTCTAACTCTACAGAGAAATGTCAATGGCTTTAAATAATACGCATTCCTAGCTCTTACCTGGCAAAATGCTCAGCTCAGCTTCCGAGCTCTGCCGCTGGTTGGCGGAGTTGGAAGCCACGCATCGATACCTGCCAGCATCCCCCCCTACAATGCTATCTATTTGGAATACACCTGAGCGCCGGAATCAGCTGCTTGTGCCTTACCTGAAAATAGACATTTACGCAATAAGGCGAGTGTATCTTTTGACATTGATCAAAACTTTGCATTATTGGCATATTTCTATCACACCGAAGATATGGACGGCATTACGGAAGTCTACTGGATAAGGAACTAATCATACTTAAACTTTACTCTGGAAAAATAATTTTGAATAGTAAATTAATACATGTCAACACAAGAAATCCACAAAGGCACACCAGGCCTACTAATATTCAACTAGTATACGTATATATCCAGCTGGTTCTGCCCACCAAGTGGACGCCGCGCCGTGCGCGCGCGGTCGGTGCCCGCGCACATCCGCGGCTTGCCCGCCCGCAGCACCTAGTTATTATCTCGCGCCGGCTCACACATTTTTAATAAAAAAAAATAAAAAAAATAAATACAAGAGTACTGATATATGGGCTTATTTACTTGCCTCAGCAATGTCAGCCGATTGAGCAAGTTTCAGACTATCCAAAATCAAAAATTTTCCGAGGGTGTGCCCCCTAACCCCCCTATGGCGCTTGCATCCTGGATGCGCCCGGCTCTAAAAAATCCTGGGCATGACCCTGATATATATATATATAAGGTCTACAGTCGGATGTCTGATGTTCAAAACTAATAGTAATAATATAACGTGCTTATGACGGCAAAACGACACGGGTCGAAGTAACCACCGGAATGGCATTATCGTGTTCTCCTGATGTATTACTACAAAATATGAATTCAAAACACTGATGGTTGGTTAGGTATGGCAGAATTTTCAGCAAGTCATAAGGACTCCTGATGATGTCAAAACAAAGATAACTACAGTAAAATTTTACTATTTGACTAGGACTTCAGTGAGATTTTATCCGTATATAAACTAGTGGAACACACTAATATTCCAAATGTGTACAACTAGGTGCAAAGGCATAATTTACACATAGAAAGATGTTTCAGTTGCATGGATTTTAATCGCTTATATGCTTGTAAATTCTTTCTGTATACCTTTCAAAATAAATTTACTCAGCTAACATTTACACTCAGTTGCCACGATACATGTAACACCAGGTACATCTCCCCACTATGTATATATATATAATATAATATATATATACATATATATATATATATTATATTAATTTATAGATTCCAATGGTTAACTTTATCTATATTATATTATATATATATATATATATATATATGACGTGTGCCCTTTATGTCCTTATGGCTCTATTCGTATAGCATCAAACCTATAGAAAAGGGTCTATACCCTGTTAACACGATACTGAAAGTGCACCGCGAGTGACCTTCTAGGCAGAGAGGGCAATAAACTGTATATCCACACTTCGCTGAGCTGCGAAGACGGTAATCAATAGTACTATATAGGAGTGTGCCTTCTGAGTGAACCCGGGGAGAGCATCAGCCTACTAGAGTAATAATGCTGCTGCTGCTGCTGATGCTGCTGATGCTGTGCAAGGATGATTGCAGGTGAAGCCAGTAAAGGCGCCCACATCACATACGCGCGCGCGCGCAAACACGAACCAATGCCCTAGAGGGGACAGCATTCTGTTCAGCTGCCACTGCTCAGCTCATTTATGTCGAAATTATGGGAAAGACAACTTCGATTGGTATTTGCCAAAATTTTACTAAAGGTGACCTGGTGTTCACACACAAGAAAAACCGCGATGCTAATCGCGATGGAAATACCGATATAATTGTGCCCTTGTTCACACAGGCGGAAATATCTCGCTAACTGCCGAGCGGGATAATTCTATTAATCGAACTGCGCATGCCTGATATCAAGCCGGAATATAACCCTCCCGGTCGCGCGCGCGCGAATTATGTACTACCGGGATTCGAGTTCGGTGTTCGATTCCATGTACACGGCAGTGCAGTCGTTGGTAGTAGTCTATGCTGCTCTAGCTCTGTTATACGTTAACGTATGCTACTCTA